GGAATATCAGACTCTTACTGACTCAAAACCATTCCTTCTCTGAATCCAGGCAGAGCCGCGGTGCAATATTACGCTGGACCAGCAATCCCAGCTAAACAATAGCTCTGTTGTGTACAGTCATCATCATCAGCCTATAAGTTCCCACTGCTGAGCAAGGACTCTTCTCATACGGACAAGGTTGGAGCATTAATCACCACGCTTGCTCAATGCGGGTTGGCGATTTCAAACTTATAATTAGAAATTATAAGTCCACCTTATGTCAGTGGTGTCAAAATAATCATAGAAAGTACATATAACTTGGAAAAAGACACATTGGTACTTGCCAGGTTTCGAACCCACACCCTCATGCATGAGAAATACTTTCAGTCCAGGGTTGTAGTCCAGGGTGACATACAATGATTCTTCAATAGTGTAAATCACTACATAATATAAAACTAAGCCGCTTTCTCTGTGTACTCCACGATATCCCTATGAAGGTATGTTTAAATTTTTAAAACTACGCAACGGAATTATTGATTCTGCTTTTAATAGAATAGAGTGATTGAAGAGGATATTTTATAGGTATGTACTTATAATAAAATCCATTATAATATAGTTAAGAAATTCAGTGTCAGTATTACACCCGTGTGAAGCCGGGTAAGGGCGCTAGTAATTGATAAATGACAAAAAATATTACCTTTTTTTTAAGTCCTAGAAACTAAGTTAGCAACAGGCAACTAAGAAACGTACTTGACCGATTTTTACATCTTTAAAGACAATTATTGACGCTTTAGAAGTTGTACATTATAGCTGTATATATACATATATACAGTCAATATTGTCATGCAAACTTGTCAAAAGTCAAAATAATTTAAAACAAAAGATTCCGTTACTTTAAAACTTCAAGGATTTTTTTTTAAATAAGCAAGATTACGTAAGCTGAAGTAAATTGTTTTGTAAAGTTGTCTATTGGCAAGCAAGACCTGCGTCCTGATTACTAACTTGCTATTTAGAATAACTGAATAGCTGACCGGTTAGTTCTCTATTGATTTTGAGGTTATGTTTGTTTTATTTGCCATCAAAATTCAAATAAAATTGTAACACTGGCCCATACAAAGAAAACTAATACTTAGGTATCCGGGTCAATTACTAGAATTATAATTGGAATTACCCTGTTCCGTAAGATTGCAATTGGCTTGCATTTTTGGTTCATGGCATTCCTAGTTAGGTTGAAACTAGCTCATAAATAATTATATTTAGCAGTGAGTCAGCATAATTACTTGTCAAGGTATTTGTGTATATTTTAACCTAACTTTCATAAAATTCATCATCATCGTCAGTCAAGTGCCCACTGCTGAGCAAAAGCCTCTTCTCACACAGAGAAGGTTTGAGCATTAATCACCACGCTTGCATATATACATATATATATATGTATATATGCAAGCGTATTAGAAAATTCCTCGTAGTGTTATCCTTCTCCATTCGTAGGTACTCTTAATTAATTCATAAAACTTTGGAAGAGTCACATTGTTGATGGCCAGGTTTCAAACACGCACTTATTTTTTTTTCTAATCCAAACTACATGTATAATATTATAAATGCGAAAGTAATTCTGTCTGTCTGGCTTTTGTTCACTCCTAAACTACTGAACCGATTTCTCTGAAATTTGGTACAGACATAGCTTGGAACTCGAGAAATAGGATAGATTTCATAACAAAAACGGAGTCACGGGCAAAAGCTTGTTCATAATAATTGCCTAGGATAAATAACATACAATATTATAATTATGTTGCTGTTTTATACAAAATTCATAGAGAAGTAAAAAAAGTTTTTTTAACATTTCAGTATAGGTACATGTTAAGCAGAAAGATCACTTCACGCCGGCCATATGACAAAAAGAAATTTAAAGGAATATCCAGTTTTCTTTTTTTTATTCTATTTAATATGACCAATGACCAACTAATTAGGTAATAATTTAAAAAAGGAATGCCCATTTCCTTTTTTACTTCAAGCTAATATGACCACTGACAAACTTGTGGACACACTTTAATTACAGAGCTAATAATAGCCAAACTATCGTGTCGGCTATACTTAGCTTAACCGTGCGGCTATGATAGCCGTAGCATAGTCTATCATCGTAGTGTTGCAACGACCGCGCCCACCCACATTTGTATTGCATTCCTTGTTACTTATGAAATAGATTACTTGCCGTTCATTATTGGAATACAAATCGATTGTGTTATAAATGTTTTAGCAATTTTTTTTAATGTGTTAAGTCGGTAAACTATCTTAGACGGATTACCTGATCAACACTCCCCATGGACACCCGCTACAACAGAATAGTTAGTGGTGCGTTGCCGACTTTTTGGGGATTGCTGATTTGGAAATTTAGGGACTGGGGTAGAGGAAGGATTGGGCCTCCGGTAACCTCACTCATACGGCGAAACACAAAGCTGTGGTGGTTTCACGCCCGTTTTCTGCGAGGCCGTGGTATCACTCCGGTCGAGCTGACCCATTCGCGCCGAAGCATGGTAGTTAAACAAATTGCTTTGATAAATTAATACATGAATGATAGAAATATTATTGTACACCGACGGTTAAGGTTATAGGAACTCTACTTTGAAGGTATAGCACTTAATATTATTGAATTGACCAATTGTTTTTATGATTGTTAGTCCATTTATCGAGGAAGGCTCAGGCTATAAAACATCACGATACCTACGTTTTGTACAAACCGAGCAGCGAAACGGGTGAAATCTTTTCCGCCTTAGTAAAACAACGTGGAAACCAAAATTAATAAGCTTCTTAATATTACCTACTTACTTGGTAGGTATGTATGTGCTATCGCTTGCAGCATCCTTATTGGTAAATACGTAACCTCGGCAAGATCTTAATTTTAACCCACTTACTTTGTTACAACCTTAACTTGTTTACTTCTCAGATGTAGGTAAAGGAAATGTTCAAGCACATTTTTTTAAATAACTTATGTAAAAGTAAAATTATTCTTTAATTATTTTTTATCCTGCAATTTTTACCATTTATTTTTTAATTAATAGCACCACTGTTTATAAGCAATCTAATCAAGCAATCAACAATAATTTATTAGGTTGGTTGGTAGACTATCAGGTACGAACGGTGCGCTGAAGGCGGAAATATTACCCCGATGCTGAACACGATCCTAACATATGGAGAACCTCCTCCTCGTTTAAAAACCATTCACCGGTACGTTTACAAACAAAAAATTAAACATACAAATCACACCCAGACTCAGAAAAATAATTTGTGGGGAGTTGGTCCGTGTGGCAATCGAACCCCCGACACATTGCACGGCAGTCGGTTCAAGTGTACAGCTAAGCTCCAAATATTTAAAAAATGTAAAACATCGCATCATTTGGTCATCGGTACAGTGCCGGCGTTAGGTTCGCCCCATCACCCCCAGCGTGCTGGTGCGATGGCCAGGGCGACCAATTCTGGGGGGCGCCAAGGTCTGAAGTTGGAGTCTCTTGCCTCTCCTAGTGCAAACAACCTCAGAACTGTGCTCTACGCTCTGTGCATATGCAATTTTTTATTTTACTTGGGTTCAGATACATAGAACTAGTGTGAGCCATGCTTCGGCACGAATGGGTCGGATCGACCGTAGTGATACGACGGCTTTACAGAAAACTGGCGTGAAATAAAGCAAACTCGTAACCCCTCCGTTTCTGCGGGTGTTCATGGGCAGCGCTAATTGAAAACAGACCATAGTACGTAGTTTCTATAAAAAAATATATTTGTAAATATTTATCTCGCTTATCTAGGTCGAGAGCAATGGGCACTAGACAGCAGAATGCAGTAGGCTTTATACTTGTTCAAGTAGGTGCAACCAGCTACTACGTATTGTAATATTACATCAAGTTGACAACTTTATGGAGGTTTTGCTGCCAACGTTTGAGAAATCGTACAAATTGCTGCAATTCTTGTCATTTATACACGAATATTAGGTATCTACTCGTACTTCTGTATTTATTTGTAATGTGTTAGAAAATTCGTCAAATTTGCATAAATTAATACTTAGAATATTAGTTCCACAATTTGAGCGTATATTTATACTGTCATAGGGAAAAGCTCGAGCTTCCAAGAGCAAGTTTCAACGGAACTGACGATTTCAATTGGTCAATTACAATCCCGTAATTAAATTCTAGATTGTTAAAAACGGCCTTAAACAAAAGTAATAAAGAAACAAAACTCGTTTAAAAAATCTTTTCCTAAACCAATTGACAAAGCTACGTAAAGATCTATGACGATCAATCAAAACAGTAGCAATAAACCTCACAGAAAAACATGTTGTGTATTTTAAATTGAAATTAGCAGAGTCCTAAGTACAAACCGGAACCAACAACAAAAACCATTTAGCGGTACAAAGCGGTGAGCTTCAGAAATGGAGCAAATTGCGCCAAATGTTGCGCGTTGGACGGTAATGGCCGAACATAAGCACTAACTATTATAAGCAACCCCGTGAGAAACTCATTTATTCTTGAGTTCTAATTACTGTTACGAAAAGGACTTCTGTATAATTAATATAAGATTATTTTACCTGTACACCATGGTTTGATTGAGATAAAACCTTCATGGGGCAACTTATTTTTTTATTCTCATTTAAAAATATACATATCGGTAAGGAAACACTATGGTGACGTCAGTTTTCAACCACTAAACTCTTGCATTTCTATGTTTAATATCAGGTTTTTGTTTTAGGTATATAACACACCAAAGCCACAGTAATTTCCGATGCGAGTATTCAACATTGAATTCGCAATCGTTCACACCTTATTACATTCTATTAACTCACCATTACATGACAATTCGATCAATGACAAACACTTTTAAGTAAAAACAATCTCTCGATATCACTTTAAAACACAATGTTAAACCAACCGCAATAATAAACAAAAATTAAAAAGTATCAACCACATTTTTCCGCGTTTCTAATTAAACGTAAAAACAATCACGCAACTAATAATTTATTGTAACCATAGACTTACCTTCAAAACCAACATGGCTGCTTTTCAATTTTCCCGCGTTTACGCGCGCGTTATGGCGAGCGATCACAACACACGTCTGCCGTTTGGCACTCGGCCACTTGTATTTATAATGTCGCTAAGTTACCACAGTGGTTGCTCTGATATTGTTATTCTCTGCAGAGCCCTATCGTAACGTAACACCCTCGTTGGCCAGTTATGCTCATGTTGACACATTTAGGTACTAATGATTCATGGGGGAAATATCAATAAACATAATCTAGTTTTTACAAAGAATTCCAACGTCTGGTTGCATTGTAGACTTTTTATGGTATTGTGTCATTGCTGTAATTGGATCAATGAAAGCGTTTATTTTAATATCATTAGCGTAATCTATTTGAATATTACGAGCTTATGTTTATGTTTTGAAAAATCTGTAGACACAGAAACCGACCATTTTACGATATTCAAGGTTCCCTACTTGTAGGTTAGGTAAATGCGGTGTATGAACTTCACAGTTTGCTATGATTGTTAGAAAAATAATTTGCCTGACAACAGACAGTAAAAATGCAGACACGATTCAAAATCTTTGTTGGAATTGGGTAGTTTCCTAGGTCAAAAATAAATTAATTCGACGTTTTAATACGATAAAATATTGAAAAATAACTATACTTTTATTCATCGATCGATCGATACACTAAGTTTTAGATATTTTTTAGCTAATTTTTTAAAAATAAGTAAGCTATTTGACGCAAAAATGCTATGACGTCATAATTCAATGTTTCATACAATTTTCATAGAAAAGTATAGTTTTTGACATTTGGATAAAAGTATTGAATTTGACTAGTTGGAAACAACCGTATTATTGTTATTGTAAAACATATAGGTATATGTTTTAACTAGGTACGGTTTTTTAAAGGATTAGGATGGAGTTGCTTATTCATTTAAATCTAGACTTTGGAATAAGCACCTATCCTCACTGTCAAACAGACTATTTGAACGAGGTTTCACAAATACCTGTTTATAAAACAATGTCGTAGCAAAATTACCTGTTCACGGTTTAGTTGGAAATAAATGATTTTGATTTTGACTGTAACTTATTTGTATGAGCACTCTTTTTTATGTAGTAGGTCGGCAACCGAGCAGACGGATTACCTGGTGGTAAGCAATCAGCGCCGCCCATGGACACCCGCAACGGAGGAGTTACGAGTGCGTTGCCGACCTTTTAGGGATTAGGAATTTGGAGATTAAGGGACTGGGGAAGGAAGGATTGGGCCTCCAATAACCTCACTGACATGGCGGAACACGAACGCTGTAGTTATTTCACGCCGCGCCGGGATTCTATGAGGCCGTGGTATCGCTCCGGTCGAGCGGACCCATTCGTGCCGAAGCATGGCTCTCCCACATTTAAAACTCTTTTTAAGACCAGAATATTAGACGCTTCTAACAGAACATTCTCTATATAGACTACATATTATTATTATTATAAGTATCTGTAATGATTTTTAATATCACTACAGTTTCTCTAAATAACAGAGCTACAGTTTATTTTGTATTTTTCCTGCAAAAACAAAGATATCACACATATCATTGGTGTACGAAACGAGGTCAAAGCTAAAAGCTAGTGTTTAAAACCTGAGTGTTTATGTACCATAGTCACGCATTTCTCCATCGAGGCCATTTTGTTTGAATCCCAATTTATAGGTAAACAACCAGCTGACGGCTAAGCAAAATGCATTATACCTATACAACAAAATGCCAGCCTTTTCAATCCAGAATAATGAGGCAATTTTTTTCTGAATACGTTATCAAATGTGTAAAATTTACAAAACGTGTAAATTATTGAATAAATAATTTTTTGGGTTCGAAATGTTCCAAGTACCTAAATTATTATGTTATTTCTAACTATATTTAGACTCAAGTGACATACTGCAACGTAAAACATTTCGAGGAAACCTGGACATCATGATATTTGTAGAAAAGTCTGAGTCTCCAAATCCCTAATCCTTAAAAGGTCGGCAACGCACTCGTAACTCCTCCGTTGCGGGTGCCCATGGGCGGCGCTGATTGCTTACCATCAGATAATCCGTCAGCTGGTTTGCTGAACTCTTACATAAAAAAAAATTCACATTTGCAAATTCGCCGCAAAAAAATCTGTTCTGCTCATACACCGCAACAAGTTGTTGCATCTATTGATTATGGACCCAGATAATAAAAAAAAATAGTTTTGAACAAGAATTTCGTGACTTTTCGATTGTTAAAAGATTTTTTTTTCAATATTGTCAAGCGTGGTCAATGCTCAAGCCTTCTCCGTGTAAGAACAGGCTTTTGATCTGCAGTAAGCACTATTTAATTACTTAGCATCATCTCTTTAGCGTTACAAATGTATTTAGTACAAGATACTCTCGCGCGGTTTCACCCGCTGCTCCATTTGATCGTAGAGTGATTATTAATAGCCTATTTTAGGCTATATATATGTAGTGCTATAATAGCACTCAGGAACATTGTAGCTATCTATCAGTGAAAGAATTTTGGCAATCCGACCAAAGATTACCCCCTACATACAAGCTTAAAAACTTACAATCTTACAAACTTTACCTCTTTATAATATTAGTATATATAATTATATTTAATTCGAACCGGAACATTTTTATTATCTATGTAGGTATATCAAATTCTTAGTGACAAATGTTTCGACAGTTTTCGAAAGCCAGCCTTCGAAACTTACGTTACTATACGTCAAAAGATCGTTCGTGATTCCAATTTGTGTCAAAATGTTCTAAGTTTCGATAGCAACACGATACGATTACTTTAAGATAGTTGGCAAAATCATTCGTGCTTGCGTTTTTTAGTTCCTCTTACGCACGTTAGGGGTGCTGTACAAATCCCATAGAAAATGCTTTCGATGTCGATACGAATAATTTCTCGATAATGTTCGTGCTAGGCACACTGGTACCAAAATGGTTGAACTTTCGAATGTCCGATTGTGAATTCAAACTTTAAATGTTTACTGCTATGAACCTTCGGGCATTGCCAAGTTTTGCTTAGATTGTTGGTTACCTACTTATAATTTAGATATTATAATAAATGAGCAGTGGGTGGAAACAGTTTGAACTTAATGCATCCAAACTAATATTATAAATGCAAAAGTAACTCGGTAACACTTTTGCATTTATAATATTAAGTAGTATAGAGATTACCATTATGGTTTATTTATATCATAGTTAAGTTAGTAACTTAGTAAAGTAATTATTATAAAGTATACTATATTGACTTGCGAAGTCCTTAACAATTTCAATGTATGTTACGTCTTCAAAAAATCAGGTTTACTAAACCTGATTTTTTGAAGACGGGTATTTTTGATAATAGTACTTTTTTATACTTCGTAAATACCACACAGAAAACGCCGTTGTATTAAGAGGTTACTTACTGGATGCTTAATTCTCTCCTCATAGTTCAATCCTCAATCTTTAAATCACAATCCGCAAAAGGACGACAACGTACCTACTTGTAACTCTTTTAGTTTTGAGGTGTTTTTTGTGAGGGAAAAATCATCAAATGACTTCTTACGCCCAGGGCCGGGCGGGAGGGAGGGTCAGACTCCTACTGACTTGAAAAACCCCCCCGTTCCTTCTCCTGCTCTGGGCCGAGGTCGCGGTGCCTCATCAGCCCTATAGGGCCCCGTCTGAGTCTTGAGGGGTACTGTCAAGACAATGGGCGGCGCTGATTGCTTACAATAAGGCAATTTACTTTTACATTTAAATAAAAATCACTAGATAGTATAAAACAAAGCCGGTTTCTTTGTCCCCATATCCATATGTATGGTTAAATCCCTAAAATTACTCAACGGACTTTAGAGAGAGGAAGAGTGATTTAAGAGGACAGTTTATATGTATAATAACATCCTTTAAAATTTCGTATCAGCATTCTAGGTACTCGTGCGAAGCCGGGGCAGGTCGCTAGTATTACATAAATGAGGGTATATCGTCGTTATGGCCCGGAGGTTAACGAGACCGCTTCTCATGCATGAGGGTGTGGGTTCGAAACCTGGCAAGTACCAATGTGACTTTTTCCGAGTTATATGTACTTTCTATGATTATTTAGGCACCACTGACATACGGTGAAGGAAAACATCGTGAGGAAATCTGGACTTATAATTCTAATTATAAGTTTGAAATCACCAACCCGCATTGAGCAAGCGTGGTGATTAATGCTCTAACCTTCTCCGTGTGAGAAGAGGCCCTTGCTCAGCAGTGGGCACTTATAGGCTGATGATGATGATGATGAGGGTATATCGCAGCGATGTTAAGGATCGCCGTAATCGTAACCGAATAACTGTCGGATATCCGAAATAAAAATGAATTTGAAACCATTCACAACTTTCGGATAAAAAGTCCATGCCATTACCATCAGGTAATCCGTCTGCTCGTTTGCCGACCTATAACATCAAAAATAAGTCTAACGCTATATATACATATGTATATATATAGCCTTATTCGATAAATGAACTAACAAACATAAAAATAATTATTAAAATCGAACCAGTAGTTCCGAAGATAAGTGCGTACACATTTATAATAGTTAATACAAAGTACCTATAGATGAAAATTAGGAAATGAATAAAACTAGTCGATAACTGATATACAAAGCTTTGTTTCTGAGAAATGAAGGGACCCTTGGAGCCCCCACATAAACCTATAGACGGGTACTCCAAGGCCAAGAACAACCGGTCAGTCTCTGCCACACGAATAGGCTAAGAGCCGAGTCCGTGTTACTACATTTATAAGTAAGGTATTTTTGTTTGTTTGAATGCGGTAATCATGACTTCTTTCACTCAAGGTGGGTCGCGAGGGAGTGTCAGTCTCACTGGCTAACCCCCCCCCCCCTTTCCTTCGCTGTTCTTGCTTACCATCAGGTGATAAATATGCTCGTTTGTAAAATCTTTAAAAACACCAAACTTTAAAAAAACGTTCTCAGTTTAGTCTGTCTATTACAGGGGTTTAAAAAGTTGGTTTTTATTATTTATTTATTAATTATTTATAATTTTTATTTATTTATTTAAACTTTATGCAACAAAACATTACACAGGC